GTTGCCCCCCTCCTCACCGCCCCGCCACCTCCTCCCTGCTGCTGAACCATGCACAAGTTGTGCCGTCGCTGGATGACGGCGCCAAAATTCAAAGCGCTACAGAAGTTCAAAAGTGGGGAGCGAACCTTGTCACCTGTTGTGGTTAGGTTCGGCCCCTGTTTTTTTAATGGGAGCGAAACTCAGCATCCCGTTTGGAAGCGGTAAGCGGTAACTCATCCAAACGTGGGCCGTGGTGCAGCCGCCAAGAGGCAAGAGCAGCGTGCGAAAAATTTGAAAGAAGGTTCCTGCTTTTTTTTTTTTCAGGAGGACCTTGACCTTTTTTTTTTTTTTTTCCAGGTAGGCTGACGGCCGGACTTGACATTTCGTGCGTGCACCTTCGACTTTTTTAGGCGGGTGGCCATTTCGTGCAGGGATTGGGGGGGCCTGGGTCTGTGGGTCGGGTGACCCAGGCCTAGCACTCACCCACCTGTCACGCACCCACTTGGGTGACCCAGGCCTAATGTTGACCCACCTGTCACCCACCCAGGCTGCTTGGCCTTGACCCGCCCTCATCCCACCCAGGTCACCTTATTAAGACCCGCACCTGACCCAATGTCCTCGTGGGCGGGGTGGGCGCAGGTGGGTGCGGGTCTGGGTACCCGGTGCTCATCTCTGGTTATTACTCACCTCCTACCTCAGATGCTTTCCCTTGCCTCTCATGAACCAGTTGGCAGGTGAGCCCAACATCAATATGCACAACTTTCCCTCGTTCAGCAAGAAGGCCCTAGACCTGGAAGCGAAGATAGGGCATGGTCAAACACCCACGACGGATGGTAGGAAAAAGACACTGCCTCCCAACTGGAAGGCGAAGGGCCGCATTATGTTCGTCGACAATGATGGTTCAACCATCGATTTGGACGACGAGTTCCAGGCAGGAGTAGGTTCAGAGGCTGGCAGCGTAGAGGCTTCAGGGGGTGGAGTAGTCGTTGCCGTAGTAAAAAAGGTAAGGCGACCGGTAGACCGAGGAGGTTCCCGGTCAAGGAGTCAAGTTGACCCCAATGCTCCTCCATGGGAGAAAGCGGGTCTCACAGAGGACGTGTGGAGAGACCGGTACACCAGGTAGGCCTGTATTCGTTGTGGTCAATATGGCCATAACCAATTCAAGTGTCGCAACAAGAAGGTGATCGAGAAGATCCCGCCTATGATGGGGCAGGCGTTGGGATACTCCACTCCCGTTGGTAGCAATGTGGCCAGCAGTTCTGGCACCGCTCCGGGAAACACGTCGGGCCAGTAGGAATAGTAGTTGTTCCTGCTAGGGTCGAGGTGGTGGACACACCCTCACCATCTCGAGAGATGGCCCAAGCTACTGACTCCATCGTCGTCCCACAAACACGTTCAGACCTATCGAGCCCCTGTTCGATGAATGTGTTTGAATCCTTAGAGGAGCTAGAGGAGGAGTGGTCTAGATCAGACCCGCTAGCTTCTTGGACGACATTGGTCAAAGTCCCTAAGGGTGAGATGATCGCCAGCGAGGTGGTCATTGGCGGCCACAAGGCCGGGGCCTATTATGACACTTGCTCGACCAGGAACTTCATTAGTCGTGCGTGCGTTGAGAGGCTGCGCTTACATGGGCAAGTGCAGTGCCTGAGTCGACCTGTGGAGTCGACTTGTGCCAACAAGCAACGCATGATAGTCAATGACTACCTCCAGAACGTTGAGTGTTGTTTCCCGTACGCGGGAGGGTAACTGAAACATCATGTTTCGTTCCTAGTAAATGATGATCTCCCCATGGATATGTTGTTAGGTATGTACTACCTCTCTGTGGCACAGCCCCAGTTTGACCGGGACCGAAAAGTGGTCAAATACACTTTGCCAGGTGGAGGGACCGCCAAATTACGTAAGTTCAAAGCTAGTAGTCTCATCGAGTCCTATGGATAAATGTGTGCGGGCGCGTTCTATAATTGTTATAAGCAAAATCAGGAGGAGGGTAGGTATCTAGTTTATGTCTCTGCTGCAGGCGAGCCGGTGAAAGTGCCACCGGAGATAGAGGGAGCACTAAGTACCCTGATCCATTTGACGAGCCGACAGGGGTTGCTGAGAGGGAGGTCGTCCACGTGATAGAGATTATCCCAGGGTCTAGCATCCCGAAGGGTAAAATCTATCGGATGTCTCCAGGCGAGCTTGACGAGCTTCGCCAGCAACTCAAGGAACTCATAGAGAAGGGGTGGATCCAGCCGAGTGTCTCTCCTTATGGTTCTCCAATCTTATTAGTACCAAAGAAGGGGGGCACTTTGAGGATGTGCATTGACTATAGGGGCCTCAATGCCATCATTGTCAAGAACCGAGAGCCCCTACCGCCGTCGACGATTTGCTAGATAGAGTGCAAGGGTGTCGGTACTTCAACAAGATAGATCTGAAGTCCGGGTACCATCAGATTGCAATCTGGCCCGAGGATCAACACAAAACCGCTTTTCAGACCAGGTACGGTCTGTACGAGTTTGTGGTGATGCCTTTCGGCCTTCGCAATCCTCCTGGCACCTTTCAGCACGCTATGAATCAGATCTTTCATGACTACTTGGACAAGTTTGTCATCGTGTACCTCGATGACATACTTATCTTTAGTAGGACTGTCGAGGAGCACGTGATTCATTTGGACAAAGTCCTTAGTCTCCTTCGATAACACAAGTTCAAGATTAACGGTGAGAAGTGCGAGTTTGGTCGCACCCATATCTTGTACTTGGGTCATGGGATTTCCGCGGAGGGCTTGAAGCCCAATGATGCGAAGGTGGCCAACATTCGTGACTGGCCGCGTCCTCAGTCTGTGACTGAGATGAGGTCCTTCTTAGGGATGGCCGACTACTATCGCAATTTTGTGAAGAACTGTAGTTACCGCCCCTTTGACGGACATGGGAGTGGACAGACAGATGCGAGGCTGCCTTCAGACACCTGAAGCATGCGCTGACGCATCATGAGGTCTTGCAACTTCCTGATCCAGACAAGTCGTTCATAGTAACCACGGATGCCAGCCAATATGGCATTGGTGCCGTGCTAGCGCAGCAGGAGGGGTCAAAGTTGAGGCCTGTCGAGTACATGTCGAAAAAGATGCCCTCTCAGAAGTTGGCTAAGTCCACCTATGAGAAGGAGCTCTACGCGAGCTACAAGGCGCTCACCCATTGGAGACACTATCTCCTAGGGAGGTTCTTCTACGTCAGGACTGATCATCATACCCTGAAGTGGATGAGGACCCAACCGATGCTCTCCGACGCTCTGAAGCATTGGATTGAAGTCATAGAGCAGTATGACTTCGAGCCCCAGTACATCAAGGGCGAGTACAACAAGGTTGTTGATGCGTTGTCGCGTAGGCGTGATTTCTCCGGTGCGCTGATCACTGAGTTTGGGCTTGCGGAGGATGTCACTCGCTCAATGGTGGAAGCCTATCGCGAGGATCAGTTTATGTCTGAGATCATTCGCAGACTCGAAGCGAAGGACAAGGTGACTTCAGCCGAGTTTGAGTTGGTCAACGGCCTGCTGTTCCTTGAGAAGGCCGGGAATAAACGTTTGTGTGTTTCTAATTGGGAGTCTTTGCGTAGTTTGTTTTTAGTTGAGTGTCATGATGCCACCGGGCATTTTGGCTTTGAAAAGACTGCAGCCAATCTGTTACAGCGGTTCTGGTGGCCCACTATGATGAGAGATGCCAAGCTGTACGTGGAAACTTGTCAGGTCTGTCAGAGAGACAAGCCCCGTACACAGGCCCCTCTTGAGCTCCTCAAGCCCCTTCCGATTCCGGAAAGGTCTGGTGAGAGCCTGTCCATGGACTTCATGGACACCCTGGTCACCAGCAAGAGTGGAATGCGACACATCTTTGTCATTGGGGATAGGTTTAGTAAGTATGCTAGATTAGTTGCAATGCCGGAAACAGCAAAGACTGAGTACATCATTAAGTTGTGCAAAGAAAATTGGGTCAGAGACTTCGGACTGCTTAAGTCTATCATTAGTGACCGGGATGTGCGATTCACTAGTGAACTGTGGAGAGTTGCAGCTGCAGAACAGGGCACGCAGTTGCAAATGACATCAGGCAATCACCCAGAAGCTAATGGGCAGGCAGAGCAGTTGAACCGCGCTGTACAACACCTGTTGAGGCATTACATCAAGACGAATCAGGTAGACTGGGATGAGAAACTTGCTCTCATCGCAAGTTTGTACAACAACGCGGTGCACAGCGCAACGGGAGTAAGCCGGAACAGCCTGCTACTGACTTTCAAGCCTATAATGCCTTTGGACTTCCTACTACCTGAGAATCAGTCAACTGCTGCACCAGGAACTTTGGAGTTTGCTTACCGATATGAGCAACTGATGCAGCAGGCTGTCGAACAGATGCACAAGGCACAGGCGGCCATGATAGAGTCTGAGAACAAACACCGCCGCCCATCTACATTCCAGGTTGGAGAGAGAGTCTGGTTAAGTCCTCAGAACTGGGACAGGAGTACGGGATCTCCTGTAAGCTCATGCCACAGTAGTTTGGACCATGGGAGATTCTAGATGTTGTGGGGAATGAACCAGATGGACCATCTTACGTTATTCACATCCCTGGTCATCTACGCACTTACCCTGTTTTCCACGCCTCAAAGCTTGCACCTTTTAAAGAAACAGATCAGTTCCCCTCTTGTCGCTCAATGCTGCCCCCGACCATGGATGGAGAGGTCGACATCGACGACATTGTTGACCACAGGGAGATGCCAGTTCCAAGACCAACAGGCAGAGGACGTCCTCCTAAACCGAAGCTGTAGTATCGAGTTCGGTTCAGACATCATACTGATCCAAAGGAGGACAGATGGTTCACAAGGGAGGAACTGATGCAGACCGCTCCACAGGTAGTATGGAGGAGGGAATGCGAGGCACAAGGCCTCGATAAGCCCTACTGGGCCCCTATTTGCAACAGCGTCAGCCGCCCTAAGTGAAGGCAGGCCCAACAGACCCTAAGAGGCCTATTTTGGACTACTTCGCAACTAGGGAAAATTCAGGCAGTTGCGCAGCGCCAGTTGGTTGGAAGCGCCCAGGCCCTGGCCTCCTTTATCAAATGCATCTGAGTCAGGCCCTGGGCRAGATTCGCAGCATAGGCCCAACTCAGGCTGTGGGCAGTTGGGCACAGGTAAYTGTCGGTGGCCCTGGGCCAATTCGTTTGGTCTGAGGCTCAGCCTCCCTGGGCCTACYGGAAGCTTCTGGGCAGAGGCCCAGCACAGCCAGGCTGCACGCACGCAGGCTGGCCATTTTCCATATAGGAAAGGGCCAGCCCACGCTGGGGTCATTCGKGCACTGGCTGCTTTGTGCGCAAGCGCTGCTGCGCTATCGCCTGCCAGGCTCACGCGCTCACGGGCGAGCTGGAAGGAGCAGGCAGCCATAGACGAGCTGCGCTGCTGTATGCTGGATGGGGCGCAGGGTGGTCCTTGGGTGCAAGTGGCATCTGTGAGTTGGGGAACGAGATTGTGAGTGATACRAGAGACATACCTGGTGCTTGAAGCGTGGGGCATTGTCCGAGATCTGCTCRTACTTCGGGGAGCTGTTGACGTCATCAGCGGCATTGTAGAGTAGGCTAGATAGGATCTGCCATCTGTAGTCTGGGCGCCGAGCGCCARATAGGATATCAACATTGGTTCTTCGTTGATGATGATGATGAGATTATTCCAGCATTGTCAATTATGAGCTTTTGGTGTGCTCTTATTTGGTGAAACTGGTGATGCAATTCTGCTTTTGGTTCGAGGTCACGACTATCTGGTCTCATGTGTATGATGCTGTTTGCTTGCTGAAGTTTGCTATTGCTCATCTTCCTTGCAGAAGGGATGAGTCAACGTCGCAATCTGTGTTACGAACCGCGCCGCCTGGGTCACCTTGGGGGCAAGGGCCAGGGAAGGTCCCTGTGAAAAAAACAAAAGTCGAAAAAATCCGAAAACATCCAGGGAAAAACTATGTTGTGCAGAAAACTAATCGAACAACTTTTGGGTCACCTTGGGGCCAAGGGCCAGGGAAGGTCCCTGTGAAAAAAACAAAAGTYRAAAAAATCCRAAAMCATCYRGGGAAAAACTATGTTGTGCAGAAAACTAATCGAACAACTTTTGCTTCAGGGTCTGATCGAAATTCTTCGCCAAATAAAAAATAAATAATAAATAATTTAATACAATAATAGTTTCTTTTTTTTGGAGGGGAGGGGGGCAAGTACGTTTGTGTCAGAACAGCGTTTCGGATGCGCAAACAAAGCATGCGTGGGCAAAGAAAAAACAGCCTCCAAGTTGGAAAAGGCAATGAAAGTACCGTGGCCGTGGTGTCACGCAGGGTGTCATATCTACAGGGGTCGGCCGTGGTATCTGCAATGAACTCCGTTCAGAACTTCAGATCCACATTGCTGCGGACCTGGGTCGTAACTTTTGGTCAAAAGGCTGGAAACAGGGGTCAAAGGTCACGTCCCAAGTGTGAGAAATGCCTACTAAAGTGCCTAAGGTCAAGGGGTATCAGGGCCTGGGTCAAAAACAGCGTCCAGTGGCCCCACGTGAGGTAGTTGATGCACATCAATGGTTGTCTGCAGGTATCTCGAAGATTCCAGTCCCAACTGGGAAAAGGTACCACTGCTTCAAGGCTGCATCCAGGCAGTCGAGATTGGGCAAATCTGGAGCGTCGACACCGTGAAAGGGGAGACTGGTCCACGCCAGTCAACACTGGTCAATGCTACAAAAGGATGGTCGGACTGGGGAAGGCATTCTGCCTTGCACTGGCTCGATGCTAGTGTTCTACACGAGGCTGCTGGAGGGAGACGCTGGCTCCAGATACTTTTGGAGGGCGGCAGCCTAGAGGGAGATTATGCTGGCGTGGTCATAGCCTCATAGATGTAGAGTAGATGATGAGGATTGGTGACACATGCCCAGTTGGACAATGTATATGGAGCCAAGGATCCGCAAAGTGATGAAAATGACTGGAATGGACAATGCAATGTCAGCAAAGCATCAACAAGTAATGTACATCCGGATACATACAAAATGGAACACTGTAGTGCAGTGGAAGACTCAAAGATATGACCTGACCTGTCGGAGACTGACGCGACATCCCATCATACACCAGACATGTGAGAGAGGGAGGAGGGACCACATACACAGAAGAAAGGTCCCTCCTTGCATGCGCACATGGGGGAGATGTGACGCCCAACCTCACGCCCAGCGCGACTTGCTGTTTCCGAGTGAGAGGGGGCTCGAAAGTGCGTGAAAGGGGCGTGCCAATAATTTTTGGAAAGTGGGGTGGAGTCAGAGGTCGGAACTGGGATCTCTGGTGTCAAGTTTGAAGGACAAAAGTGCAAGTGACTCAGCCAGGAACCAGGTTTCCTGTTCCACTTCTCAGAACCGGGTGGCTACGTCCAAAGGCCCCGTCGCCTGGGCCAGATCCGGATCCTGTGGACTGGGGGAACACAGTGGCTGTCTCTCTGGGCCAACACTTGTCGCCGGCGAGCTTCACAAATCTCAGAGTCTGACGTGGACGGCCTCAGCCAGAGGCTATGCTCTCGGCGTTCAGCTTTGGAATGGGTTTGTCGGACAAATCCTGCGGCTCGGCAGGAATTATATTGTTGGCACTCAGAGCACGACCTTCGTGGCCAGTAAGGGGCTATCGCGTTCCAGGGAACAACTACCAAAGTGTGGTAAGGAAGGAGGCAATAGAAGGGAGGGAACTCGGTGGTTATAGCGACAAATCCTAGGCCCTCGAAGGACAGGCAATCGCGCGTACTGGGGCTAATTGGGATTTGGGGATTTTGCCCTATAGCCTGCTGGAAATCCCGTGCACACATCTCCCGTTCTGATTTAAACATAGAAAGGCAGGAAGTCCCAACCTCGACTGTCGATAGAGATGCTCGTTTTCCCAATATTCCCGGTACTCGGGGTCTCCCTAACAGTCGCAGTCGGTCATCCAGAACGGAATGCCGATGTCCATCTTTCGGGAGAGAACCTGGGTCCATGCATTCGCGTGCTTGCGATGTAGTCGAGTCGGAGGTAGATCATGCAGACACGTATATATGCGGGGACTTACTTAGTCGTCCGTATATATGCGCTCACAAGATCTGTATCCGACAAGCTGGGAGATGGTCCGCCTCATATTTCTCACGAATCCGAGTTATGCATGCGTCTATTTTCAACACGACTATCATTCACAACTCAGCAAGGTCTAGACATCTAATCAAACAACTCACTTCGACATACGGATATGCAAAAAGCAGAGAAGAAGTGGACCATCGTTCAAGTTCACGTAGCCATATAATCCCTGGGCTTAGTAATAAGAGTAATAAGTCATTCACAGTTCTTAATACAACCATTCAGTTGATCGAAGTGATAATAACCTTGTACTCTTGTCTTCCAAAAATGGGAAAGAGGCGAGGGAGGAAGAGACAAATCCATACATCATTAATACACGAGGGAGAGAAAAAGAAAATCCGAGAAAGTCGCAAGCAAAAATGGCCAATACCGAAAGCAAAATTATACAGAGAGTTCGGATAGAACAAAAAACATCACTCCAACACACCACTCTCTCTCTCTCTCTCTCTCTCTCTCTCTCTCTCTCTCTCTCTCTCTCTGCGTTCCTCCGATGTGGGCAGTCCGTCGCCTCACACCTATCAACACCACAAAGTCGTCACCCCTCTTAGTTTGAGGCTGCAAGCCAGGTTCGCCCGTGTGCCACAGTCCTTCGCACCCACACATCAACCCTGCATACTCAGCACCAGCCCGTCGGATCGCCCAACTCCCTACTCACCGTCTTGCTTCTGCCCGTTAGCCGATCCCCTGGACCAGGGTTGTCAGGCGGGGCCCCTCGGGGGCAAAGCCGGGGTAGGGGTTTGACCCC